TAGTAGCAGCAGCAGTAGCAGTAGCAGTAGCAGTAGCTGCAGTAGCAGCAGTAGCTGCAGCAGCAGCAGTACCGGTGGTGGTGGTGGTGGTGGTAGTAGTAGTAGTAGTAGTAGTAGTAGTAGTGGTGGTAGTAGGAATAGTGGTAGGGGCATAAAAATTGAGCAGTCGTCGCCGTCAGCACTGTTCCGCAATGTCAAGGACCCCGTATGAAAGCCAGAACCTCCCCTGATGAGGGTAGTTTAGGGTTCAAGCGTCAGGATGTCTTAGGGCCGGCGGAACTGGGGCTAGATCGGTACTATGAGGTGGAGCAAGTTCTTTTTCGACCAACAAGGAAGATCATTAGTTCTTTGCATGCACGAGGACCGTGTGCCCACTGCTTAAGGATCCACAGTGCTTGCAACCTTTGCACGCCCTAAGGTAACATGCTCCCTGGAGCGGTTTGACACCTGCGTTCAAGGCATCCCAACGCAAACCCTGAGAAGTGACGCATCAGTGGGAAGGGCCAAAAAGGATGTCGCAGAGCCTTGCGTTATGTCGGCTATTCTCCTCAACATCGGGGTCTTCTAAAAGTATGCTCTCCCTTCCCAAAAATATTCAAACCCATCCTAAGCCCTAAACCCATGGACAAGAAGCTAGCTTTCAAATAAGTTTGTTCAAACTGATGGGATGGTCTCCTCACGATCCCCGAAAGAGTACAACTTCACTCCCGGAAGAAAAACTCTAAAAGCGACCCTAATTTAGAGAACCCGAAGCCGGAGACCCAAGGCGTCTGGTGAAGGGGTGCTGGGATCAGGAGGCTTCGGGTTAATGTAACAGCTCTTAGATTGAGCTCTCAGCCCTACAGTTACTGTAATGTGCTGCTCTGTCCTGCGAGCGCGGTGAGCTCAGCGGTACCAAGTACGAATCTTCCAACTTAACCTCCAAACCCGCACTTAATACAATATCAGGTAAGGTAATATAATATAGTATAATACAACATAGTATACCATAATAGAATGTACTGTTCGGGCTGCAGACTTTAGGGTCAACCTTTAAGGTTCAGGCTGTAGGATGTGGGGTTTAGCTTGGGTTCAATCATTGCGGCTTGGGGTTCTGAGTCTCAAGTTGAGAGTCGGGCGTGGGGTTTAGGGTTTAGGACGTCGGGTTTGGGGTTTGGGGTTTAG